ATGTTGTTCAGTTCCACTGACGACAATTTACAAAGAAGGTGTGCCCGAATTTGGTAAAGTGATCAGCGCCATCCCACAGGTGCGGTGAGCGCACTTTTCTTTTCACTTATTTCCGCTCGCAGGCATTGTCACGTTTCAATCTCAAGCTGTACGCCACCGTGAAGACTTTCAGACGGGAGAATCAAAACACTAGTTCCCGTAAAAGAGTCCGTTACTGATAATTTCTGGATTTGTGTTAAGGGAGTTCAGTGGCAAGGGTTTGACAGAAGAAAGCAAAATTGAATGGTTAACATTCCATCAGTATTAAATGAAGAGATTCAAGTTGCCATTCCAATGGGAAAACATCCATAAAATTTTGTTTGACTGGTGAAAACCGCGTGACATGCTGATTATAGCTGTTGACTAGCTGTGTACTATACTGTTACATAGCACTGCTACTACACGGAGATGGTCACAGTTGTTGAAGAGTTTCCGCCATGTACTGTCTGGCACGTTGCCATGGCTATCAACAGATGATGAGAAGAAGAAATATGAGGTGTACTGTGGACTCGCTCAAGAAAACCGAAGACTCGGTGTCCATTTCAAAATATTCACCCACTGGGAATAGAACCCAGGTCTCCTCCGGGATGGTCAACCGACATGACCAAGTAGACTATCATGTTGATGAATTGATCCTTCACTGGAGGGAGATATATAACTCATCTCGGTATATGGACAATCGAAAAGAGGTGTTACCGATTCTACTTGAAGACTACTTTCCAGAACTGACAAGGAAGTTGACTGATATAGTTCGAGACACGAATAACAGCGACCAACCCTGACAAAGGACTTGATAATCAATGACGAACTATACAATCACGAATCTCAAGGGGAGCCTTTCTCACTGACTTCCACATTCTGCCGGGCCATCGCCTCAGCATGCACCTTTTTATAGTATGGGATGCATGCTAGGGCACCTCCGACACCAACTAGACAAAGAGCTATAAGCACATAGTAGTAGTAATCGTAATGAGAGGGCGCAGCCACGGCGCTGCCTGGTTCGAAGTTTGGCAACCATGGTGATGCTACTTGGAACAAGGCGGCGGAAAGACCGTTGGCGATAGCGGTAAAGCAAAGATTAACGGCGGAAGCCACGTTCTTAAGCTCGGGCGGAGCATGTGTAAAGGCAACCTCGTAGCTTGTCGAGACCAGGAAAATCTCACCGGCGGCAATAAGTGAGAACTGGGGAATTTGCCACCAAATAGATACTGTGTACAGGGAATTACTGGAGACCACATATTCTACAATTACTGCGGCGACTAAAGACAGCGCAGCGAGCAATGAGCCGATGCAATAACGAACCAGAACGGGAGGCATAAGCCCTCGCTTTCTCAGGGCAGGATACAGCAGTTTGTCAACGACTATTGATATCACAACGACAGCGATAGCATCGACATTTTGCATGATGGCGGCGGGCATGTTCCAACCGAACGTATTGGTATCCATTTTGAATCCCTGAGTTAGAAAAGTTGTTGCCATGTTGTTATACACCATATTGAATGGCACAGTGAGAGTAAACAACGGGAGGAGTCTAAAGAACACCTTTGCGTCCTCAATGAACTCGTCTCCGAATTTGCCTCCTTTACTCCTCTTGTTCTTCTCAAGGGAACATTTCGCAGCAGAGTAGACGGCCACTTCACCGACCTTCAACACAGCCGAGCCCTGAGGCTTAGCTTTAACGTAACGATTCATGAAGTCACCAACGACAAATACAATGGTAGCAACCACAAAAAATGCCAGAGGGAATAGGAAACTGGCAGTGTAGCTGACCTCTTGCAGCAGGATAGGAGTCACGACACCGCCTACGATCGAGCCAAGGTTAATTGAGGCATAAAAATAGGTAAAAAATCGTGTTATCATCTCTTGGTGTTCATCTGGGTGCATTTGCTGTGCTCCCATCACGTTTACACACGCCTTAATGCCACCAGCACCGAGTGTGATGAGAACCAACAACGACAGATGTATCATCCAGGCTTCGCTGATTGACCTTATCGAGGAGAGTGTAAGCAGAGCCAGACCGATCATATACACTATGGAAAATCCCAGAATGACGTTGTAGACACCGAAGAGAGTATCAGCTAGAATACCACCAAGAAGAGGAGTAATATACAATACAGCATTGAATATGGATACGTAGGAGTCGGCGGTAGTATCAGAGTATCCCAGATAGCTCTTGAGGAAAAGTTGCAAATTCGGTGTTACACCGTAAAAAGCTAGACGCTCACAGAACTCCTGCATAAGGATGAAGACACAAGCCATTAGCATAGGGTTTCTATAGTAGCGATATACATTGCCGGATCTGTCCGTCCAGGAGAAGGGCTTCTCGTGAGGCATTGATGAGGAAAAATTGGTATCGAAAGTATACCTTCACAAAAACAACGTAGATTAGCCACACAATGTCCTCAAGAGACGTTATAAAAACCTGCAGTGACATTGTCCTATTATATGAGTAAGCATAATACTAATATAGATCGTTATAGACTATAACTATCTGTATTAGTATTATGCTCACTAAAACTTACAGTAGGCCACTACGCCTTATTTCCCGCGTCACAGTAGTGCACGCGAAACGAGCGTACCGTCACCAGCGAAAACGCGCGCGCCCGCGCTTGACTTTCAGCCGCAGGCCAAAACCAGTCCTAGAACTCCACAAGAAACGATAAAACTCGGGTGAAATCCTTAATAGTAGTAGTAGTGTTTCATAATCACACTCTGGAGAATGTGGTCAAGCCATTGACGCTACCGACCTTCTTCGTAGAGCTCCTTCCGTGGCACCAACAGACTCCCCGAAACTCGATGAGGACGAAGGTCTCGACCGTCTATCTACCGCGGTTTGTCGTTGGGCGCTTATCTTCTTAACCTTATTGAAATAAGGAACGCTCAATAGAGCCGCTATCGAGCCCAATAGACAGAGACCAATAAGTAGATAGTAATAGTAGTCATAATGGGCATCTTTATGCGAACCATCTGTAGGTTTTGTTGCATCGAAATCCGGCAACCACGACTGACACAGTGAGAACAGCACCGCAGAAAGAGCACTGGCAATAGCAAAAAAGCACAAGTTGAATGCTGAGGCAACCGCTTTAAGTGAAACCGGGGAATACGTAAAGGCCACTTCATAAGAAGTTGACATGAGGAATATTTCACCAAGAGCGATCATCCAGAACTGCGGAACCTGATACCACACTGATACCGTGAATAAGGGTTTCGATTTGATCTCATATTCAACCACTAGAGCACAGCCGAGGGCGATAGCGCCGAAGAGCGAGCCTATAGAAAACCTCACCAAAGGCTCGGGCATGACTTTGTGTTTCCTTAGAAAAGGAAATAGCAGAGAATCGATCACAAACGAGCTGATAACAACGGCTATAGGATCCACGTTTTGAATCATCGCGGGGGGCATGTTCCAACCGAACGTATCACGCTTCATTTTCTTAGCCTGGGTGAGGAAGGCGGTGGTCATATTGTTGTAAGCCATACAGAACGGTATGATCAAAATAAACATTGGTAATAACATGAATACAGCCTTCGCATCCTCAATGAAATTGTCCTCAAATTTCCCTCCGCGGGAGACCTTATTTTTCTCCAGTGAGCATCGAAACACCGAGTAAATCACAACCTTCAAGATTTGCAGAACCGCCGAGCCTTGTGGTTTTGGTTTCACATAACGGTCCATGAGATTACCAACGATGAAAAGCGTCGTCGCCAGTATAAAGAATGCCAGAGGGAACGCAAAGCTCGCGGTGAAGCCAGCCTCCTCCAGCAGAATTGGAGTGACAATTCCACCGATTATCGAGCCGAGATTGATAGCAGCGTAGAAGTAGGTGTAGAATCGCGTTATGAGCTCTCTGTGGTGCTCGGGGTGGAACTGCTGAGCTCCCATGACGTTGACACAGCTCTTGATACCACCAGCGCCAGAGGCGATCAGAACGAGTAGAGATAGATGGACCATCCAGGCCTGACTGATAGATTTCACAGAGGAGACCGTCAACAGAGCCAGACCAGCCATATACACGAATGAAAATATGACTATTGTATAGTACAGACCAAGAAGGGTGTCCGAGAGCACAGCTGAGATCAGAGGCGTCACGTACAAGATAGAGTTGAATGACGATATGTAGGAGTTTGCTGTGGAGTCGGTATAGCCCAAATACTCCTTGAGGAAGGTCTGCAGGTTCGGCGTGAGGCCATAGAAGGCTAAGCGCTCGCATAACTCTTGTAAGAGGACGAATGAAACGGCTTCCCTCATCGGATCCTTGTAGTAGAGGTACTCGTTACCGTAGAGATCTGTCCACGAGTACTCTTTCTTCAAGCTTGTCGTACTCACCGCACTTTTAGTGGTGCTACTCATAGTACAGGACTACACCATATCATAAACACACTGTAGTGATATGCTTACCACACCTCCATCACAAATCACTGAGATATCGCCAATACTCAGACACTCCTCATAACGCTATGGAAGGCGTTTCACGCATGCACACATGCACGCGTGCACAGGCTTGCGCCTCGCGGTGATATCACCATTTCAGAGTATTAGACTTGTCAAATTCATAGATTTCACTCCGACTTCGAACTTTCAATCTGCGTGACTCAAATCCTACCTTATTAATTCGTGAATACGGAAATGTGATATAGGTTAATCTGTTAACCTAGGTGAAATACCGATGCGGATTTCCGCGTCGCTCCGCTACCAATTCGCACTGCAGAGATGTAACCGCGAGGCGAGCGGATCCTCCCCGCTTTCCTTATGTCATAGCATAGTCACGGGCTGAAGGACATTCTGTATTTTATTCCAATCCCACCACTCCCGGGAGCAAGTACCGAAGAGGGTGCAGAGTCTGCACTGCACACACGCACTGTCGGCACACTCACTGAGTGTCACTCAGACCCTGTGTCTCTGAGTGTCTTCCCTCATCGATACCTCTATGGTCGGTACCGAATCACCCTACCAGTCCCACGCGACCAGGAGTGGGATATTTAATGTGGTGACACATTCACTTGGGGATGACCCTGGTGTCACCAGCCGACATAAAACTGACTTTACTCAATACAGCCTCTACTAGAGAAAAAGACTCCTGACAATGTAAGATGGAGTGACTACGGTGAATGATTAGTGAACATCATTCGGATATTCTGAGATCGAGCTTGACCATTTCGGGTCATTCATTCGAGCGGACCATCCGTCCCCGACCAAAAAGGGGCCAACAGCAGATAATCGTCTTCCTCAATTTAAAATCACTTCTATTTTCTTCCTCAAGTTGTTCTCGTTTAATATTGCCATGACGGAATATGATAATTCCCATCAGAATGAGGACCAATGCCATCCATTCGAACCAAGTCACCTTAGTAGCTCCAATGATGGGCCAACTTATCAGAGAGAAAATTGCCGTCAACGGCACGGTGAGCTTATACGATATGAAAGTAAGCAAACTAGAACCATACGACACCAGCAAGTATATGGAGATATTAAACAAGACGTTAATAACCATATAAATAGTAAACGCCTCAGGAGCATACGAGTTGGTCGCGAGAGCGTGGAAACCATCACTGAGTCGTTTCCCAGGGTCTTCACCAGTGCGTATCATCTCAACGACGATCGCTATAGGGACAACCCAGAGGACACCGAATGTGTGGTTGGAGCTACTCAAAGCAAAGACGTCCAGAGTGGTGTTCTTATATCCTTTTTGGATAGCATACTGAGTGTAGTTTCGGAACATTTTCTCCTTGATAACAAACGCCAATGCTTGAAACATCGTAGACATCAGACACACAATGGACATGCCAATACTGGTAGAACCACCGTCGAAACCCGCAACCACTGCGGACCCTACGGCCATGCCAACAACTATCGCCACTCCGAATAACTCCTCCAAAATGTAACGGACTGCGAGGAAAATGAGTGACCATAGTAGAGTGAAAGGGACCATACCCTGTTGCAACAGGCTGAACACGACGATGGAAATGTACGCTTGTGACAAGTACATCAAGTTGTCTCCAAGAACCTCAGTAAAAGATGCCAGAAATGTGTATTTACAACCAGGCAAACGACGCCATAATCCCTTCACACCGGTAGCAGTAGTATCATCTTGGAATTTCCAAACCCACTCGAATTCCTCACGACTGACTCTCCCACTGAACCACTCCGCCGCAAAAATCGACCAATACGAAAGGCAGTAGACAACTTGACCAATGATGTTGGTGACCAAACCAGAGTATTCCCCCAGAGTCTCAGCACGGATCTTCCCAGTGATAGAATTGGTCGTGCCCAGGGTAACCAACGATACGATGAGGACCGGGACCAACCACACAGGTTGCTTTCGCTTCTCGATGACGATGACCTCGTCCTTCACAGTGGTCTGTGAATTTGCGGATTCGGGCGGTACCATATCTGCGAAAATCTACAAGTATCTTTGCGCATGCGTGCAGAAAGATTCTCAACTCAACACCCGGCATCACCATCAAAACGCACAGCAAAAACTTACAAGTCTTAAAAAATGAGATGCAATGTTGGAGGAATTTATGTTCGTTTTCCTCAGCTAAGCTCACTCATATGCGAATTCGGGTAGAAGTGTACGGAAACCAGGAATTCTTATATGTCTGGAATTCTGATATGAAAAACACCAGTGAAAAAAATAAAAAAACCAATGAAAAGTGAAAAAATATATTTCACCATTGCTGCATACTGCAAATATCGCGTTTTTCACAATGTATTACGCCACTGCATGTAAAATGCGGTGAAAAACGCGATATTCGCGGTAATATGCAGTAGTCGTGAAATATGTTTTTCACTAGTGTTTTTCATATCACTAGGGTTAAACTCCACTGTTATATACAATAACTAATATTCAATACCTAACCCGAAACACGCCGACAAGACCCGAAATATTCCACCAAAAAAGACAACTCTCACAGCTCGAGAACACCAATATAAATTTGTCTTTGAATTGAAGATATAATACAGTTGAACGAAACTCCTCCGCGGACTACGGCATTTCCATGTTAATTTCATCGACGTATTAAAAAGTATTCCCAGAATTTGGTATCACGTGTAAAACTTGATCCTGGAAGTAGTCTTGGAACTCAGACAAGGTCTACTGAACACGCCGAATATAACCGGGCCGTAACAAGGAGAGTTGAGACCGATAGTAGGGATATAAACTTGCGTTATAACCCTATGAATGTGTCCTGAGATATTACTATAGAATGCCCTCGGGGGTAATTCCAACCTGCACCCTCCCTTAATTCTGCGTCACGTGTGCATGCGTGCAACAGTGGGTGACGCTGGAGAGCGTGTCACCTCATACTCCCTATCAATTAGGACGCATCGGGTCGTCTAGTATACGATAGAATAACAGTCGTTGTTAGGTCCTTCACCAATTATTCACTATCATTGTCTGTGTCATCCACTTTTGAACCAAACGATTATGGTCGTGTAGAAATATCCGAATCCGGGAGAAAATCACACCCCGAGCGCGCCATATACGGAACACATGACGATGGAAGGACTCTATAGTATTAATACTATGCATAGTAACATCATGTTTGACCTGTGATATCCGAGGTGCGGTATCATCGCGTTGATAGCAGGGTTGTCCAACGTAGTTGTTGAACCTCCGTATTTCCATTTTGACGAGTATTTCAACAGGTCATCAATGATGACTCATCATCATGTAGTACGGTCTGTGATAATCCCCTCCTGTAGTTGTATTATTAAGTTAATAATATCAACTATCACGTTTTTCACACTGAGTATACCAGCAGGTTATCATCATGTATTAAGGTCTAATCATCTTTAGTTGTACTATTATGAATCCCGAGCTCTTCACCCATCCCCTTCGAACGTGGAACCTCCGCGTACCTGTTCGGTATCGCCCCTCGGGGGTGCATGCAACGAAGATGCACAAGGCTAAGATATTGGATACCTCTAGTCAACGTAGGATGAGGGAGAACCTTTGGCATAGCTGCCCCACACACTTGGGAATAAGCACGATTTAGGGTGGCATAGCCGCCCCGCACAGGGAAATAGGTGTATCTTAGAATGGCATACCCGCCCCGCAGAAGAAATTTCGCATATCTCAGAGTGGCATACCCGCCCCACAGAAGAAATTTCGCATATCTCATGGTAGCATACCCGCCCCACAGGAGAAATTTCGCATATCTCAGAGTGGCATACCCGCCCCACAGAAACAAATTCGCATATCTCATGGTGGCATAGCCGCTCTGGAAGACGGTCACAATTCACAATTCTGTGCAAAAAAGGCATTTCTGAGCATGGCATATCTGCCCCACACACAAAAGATAGTCGCATCTCAAATTGGCATACCCGCCCCATCTATGGCATATCTGCCCCACACACAAAAGATAGTCGCATCTCAAATTGGCATACCCGCCCCATGAATGGCATATCTGCCCCACTCCTCTCTTTTCCCCTTCAGGTATAGCCGGTGTGATGAGCCAAGCCATCATGAAGTATAAACCATCCGTATACGGTTGGTTCGGCAAAAGGACCTTCGCCGAGAATATCCTCATTATAGCCTTACCAAGTAATAATAATAAAGACGACGACGATAACGACGGCCGCTTACTTATATATTATAATATCCTTATATATAGTACAGTATAAAATAGTATATCACACCTTCGCCGAGAATATCCTCATTATAGCCTTACCAAGTAATAATAATAAAGGCAACGACGATGACGACAGCCGCTTACTTATATATTATAATATCCTTATATATAGTACAGTATAAAATAGTATATCAGACCTTCGCCGAGAATATCCTCATTATAGCCTTACCAAGTAATAATAATAAAGGCAACGACGATAACGACGGCCGCTTACTTATATATTATAATATCCTTATATATAGTACAGTATAAAATAGTATATCACACCTTCGCCGAGAATATCCTCATTATAGCCTTACCAAGTAATAATAATAAAGGCAACGACGATGACGACAGCCGCTTACTTATATATTATAATATCCTTATATATAGTACAGTATAAAATAGTATATCACACCTTCGCCGAGAATATCCTCATTATAGCCTTACCAAGTAATAATAATAAAGGCAACGACGATAACGACGGCCGCTTACTTATATATTATAATATCCTTATATATAGTACAGTATAAAATAGTATATCAGACCTTCGCCGAGAATATCCTCATTATAGCCTTACCAAGTAATAATAATAAAGGCAACGACGATAACGACGGCCGCTTACTTATATATTATAATATCCTTATATATAGTACAGTATAAAATAGTATATCACACCTTCGCCGAGAATATCCTCATTATAGCCTTACCAAGTAATAATAATAAATTCAACGACGATGACGACAGCCGCTTACTTATATATTATAATATCCTTATATATAGTACAGTATAAAATAGTATATCACACCTTCGCCGAGAATATCCTCATTATAGCCTTACCAAGTAATAATAATAAATTCAACGACGATGACGACAGCCGCTTACTTATATATTATAATATCCTTATATATAGTACAGTATAAAATAGTATATCACACCTTCGCCGAGAATATCCTCATTATAGCCTTACCAAGTAATAATAATAAATTCAACGACGATGACGACAGCCGCTTACTTATATATTATAATATCCTTATATATAGTACAGTATAAAATAGTATATCACACCTTCGCCGAGAATATCCTCATTATAGCCTTACCAAGTAATAATAATAAAGGCAACGACGATGACGACAGCCGCTTACTTATATATTATAATATCCTTATATATAGTACAGTATAAAATAGTATATCAGACCTTCGCCGAGAATATCCTCATTATAGCCTTACCAAGTAATAATAATAAAGGCAACGACGATAACGACGGCCGCTTACTTATATATTATAATATCCTTTTATATAGTACAGTATAAAATAATATATCATTTATCATCATAATAGTGAGGTCCCATTAGGTGCTATTATATGGGTAGCCTTGTTCATACCATGGGTAATGGATTGGAAACCACATCAACTACTAGGGTGGAGAGGATGGGCTCATATGGGACCTTACTTAGTACCGCAATTTGTTAAGCACGGCGAGTAAGGTAACCGTGGATCGTGTAAGTGGGCGTATCTGTTTTCAGCTGGCAAGACGCCATAGCTGCCCTTTCGACAGTTGATGGAGAAGACCCTTTATTATTAGATGCGGAAAGGTAAGCTATTGAGGAGGCTCAGTTTCGAGAAGAGCTTACTTTATAGGGCATCAGCGTTGGTTGATCTAGAGTATGTTAGTCAACGTCGAGCGGCCGTTAGGGACATCGTCAAACATTATGGATTTGATGTAGTATTAATGGACCTTCACAACCCGTTTTCCGTAATAATACTCCATATGAAAAACGCGATATTGTAGTAGTCGTGAAATATATTTTTCACAGAGGACTGGTCAGGAAACTCCATTTATGTGCGTGTGGTACTTTTCTTATAAATACTACCATTACCCCACATATAAAACTTATATAGATGGGCAGAATTACGTTACGGACCGTTACGGCTCACTTTTACGGTTACGATTCAAGCCCCGTATCGTAAAATTACGGCACCGTAACGGGTCTTACGGAGATGCAGAGGACGAAACGAGGATTGATCATTCAAGTCGCCTGAATCTATTTCATGTGAATGCCCATCAGTAGACGAAGCCGGCTTGGCAGTTCCGGGCCAGCCTGGGAGTATGACAAGCGAAATTTTCAAAGGAGACGCGTGGTAAATGCGAAACCAAATGTTACTCTCTCAGCGGTTCGGTTGAATCCGAGCCACAAGAAATGAGTTTAACAACTATTTGAGCTATCGTGGAGTGCATTACAGCGAATCTTTCCGCCACAATTCTGAAAAAGCAGTTCAGCATCAACCGTAAAGTCGTAAGGCCTTTCCGTAACCGTAAACTGCTTACGTTACGCACACCGTAACGTAAACCGTAAAAAAACGTTACGCTGCCCATCTATAAAAACTTACTACTTTAATTTCGCAGTTTTCTACCAAAACGATATCTCCAATGCTGTTGATGGTGAATTCAGGCGCTGTTACCCGTCGTCGCCGACTTAGTAGCTCCTCCCGAAGAAGGACTACGAATAAAGGCGATCGGCCATTTCGGTAATACCATAACTTTATCGAATCGGCATAGACACGATTTCATAGAAACACAACTACGAGTAGCGATGGATGTTCTCTTTGCGGTTGAGCCTGAGGACAGGAAAGTACCTGGGCAGTTGTTACAGCGGCTCGTCCTAACCAATAAGGAACAGTGGGAAAGATATCTCATTTTCCAAGAGTAAGATTATTAGAGTTTCACGTGATGAGGCGAAATACTCTGCGCACTAGTGTTTTTCATATCATTTTTCATGAAGTGGGTTAATATTA